TGTTTCACAATTAAAACTTATGTAAGAGGTCATTATTAATTTCAATGCCTCCACTAAGATTGGAACCAAGGACCCCTGGCTTACTAGTCTGATGCTCAACCGATCAAGCTAAAGAGAAGTTCTCTCTAGCCAAGCAGTATTTTGTGGCTAGAATTTTACCAGGGTTACACTTTATTTATTAAAACTAACTATATGATGTACTGTATATCATTAAATTGTTATGTTCACCAAAACTGAAAAGATGATGTATGGCAAATGTCGGCTTTTTATTAATGCTAATGACATATACAGCACATTTTTGAGACATGAAATATTCATGATACTATTTCTGAATCACGTTCTGAATTATATTAAAATAAAATTGTGCTAATTTGTCTGTCTTAGTCAGAATATGACAGTCATGCAGCTACTTTTCACAATTTGGTATTATATATCATTAATTACTATTGTATGTTAAAATTTGAATGTGTAGTAATGGTTACAAATATTGGCCATTTTATGTATAGTCTTGTTTTGATCTGTTTTTTATCAAACAGTGCTTCTTTGCCCTCAGTAAGCAGTGAAATATTTGCTAGCCCAACATTCATTCTCCCTAACTCTCAGTTTTTATAGCTTCCCTAAGTTGGGCCCCTTGAACTTCCCTCCAACCCAAAACAAACACTGGCTTAATATTCAGTGTTCCCTCCTTACAGAGGTTGTTTTTATTTTCCTTGAAGAGGTTGTCTCAAAATGCAATTCTGGAAGATGAAAAAATCATAACAAAGAAAGAGGGATCATCTCAGAAGGCAATATCAACAGAATAGTAGGTCAAGTGCAGAGTATTTGTTTACATTTTTATGTTGTCGGTTCAGAAAAGCCAAAGTTGACATACAAGAAAATTGCTGTTTGATGCACAATCAGCATTGTTAAATAATGAATTCAATGCACTATGTTGAAGATAAAGTGCATTTATAATTCTTGCAAAAACATTGAACTAAAGTGGGTTATATTGGTCAATGTCGGGGCTCTTTGTTCTGGTTATATACACTAAACATGCATGCATCACTGATCAACACTGAGCGGTCCTGAAGTCCAGGTACTGTCAGAACAAAGCCTTCTACACCTTCTGACAGAGGAGAGTTGGCCCCAGGTTTTAATGACAAAAGCTGACACCTATCCATTTCTGGCAGTGCGTGTGACTGTCAACCCCCTCTTCCATTATGATGAGGGTAATTTTTCTTGGGTGTTATTATTTATTCACTTGAGTGAGCAATTTGCTTTGGGAAACTAATCTAACTGGTTGGGTTGTGGTGGAGGCCAGCTGTTACCATGTGATGTGATATTTTGGCCTGGATTTTCTGGCCGCAGAATAAAAAAAAGCCTAATAAAATATTTTACCTCTGGATACTATATGGCCGGAAACAGTGGGACAGTTATTGTAGCTGTTTTTTTTAAAATTCTGACGACCTTTTATAAAAGGCATGGACATGCACACAATAATCGATGAAAAACATTGAATTTTGTCGTGTACCAAGATAATGAGAGATTTTGATTGTGCTTAGTATCAGATACTTTGAAGGGTTGGGGTTTTGAGGCCAATATCTAGGAAAAATAGGGTTTGGACATGGCTCGGACTTGTAAAGACCAGCATCCAGGGAAAATAGAGGGTTGACGGCGGGAAGAGAACAGTGTCGGGGAATAATAGAGTTGGAGGATAGAGATAAATTGTGGGCAGGTAGAGATCAGCATCCAGAGAATTGGAGGATATAGGTGAATTGTGGGCAGGTAGAGATCAGCATCCAGAGAATTGGAGGATAGAGGTGAATTGTGGGCAGGTAGAGACCAGCATCCAGAGAGTTGGAGGATAGAGGTGAATTGTGGGCAGGTAGAGACCAGCATCCAGAGAGTTGGAGGATAGAGGTGAATTGTGGGCAGGTAGAGACCAGCATCCAGAGAGTTGGCAGAAATAGGTTAATAGTGGGCAGGTAGAGACCAGCATCCAGAGAGTTGGAGGATAGAGGTGAATTGTGGGCAGGTAGAGACCAGCATCCAGAGAGTTGGCAGAAATAGGTTAATGGTGGGCAGGTAGAGACCAGCATCCAGAGAATGGGAGGATAGAGGTGAATTGTGGGCAGGTAGAGACCAGCATCCAGAGAATTGGAGGATAGAGGTGAATTGTGGGCAGGTAGAGACCAGCATCCAGAGAATTGACAGAAATAGGTTAATGGTGGGCAGGTAGAGACCAGCATCCAGAGAATGGGAGGATAGAGGTGAATTGTGGGCAGGTAGAGACCAGCATCAATGTAAACTAGAAAGTTTGGACAAGATAGTGACCAGTATAATATTGGCAATATTCGGGGAGAGGGCAATTCGGATAGGTACTTATTGATAATAGTGGCCAGTATCCAGCTGTCCACCCCACTCCTTCTCTAAACATGTGAGAATGAGTGAACACACACACATCTCTGTTTTCTTCTGTCTATAACGATCCCAGCACACCCCTGTTCCTTTCTACAAAAGATCAAAGCCATTCTCTACAATACTAACTGTAAGTTGCCACCAACCCCTACTGGGGTATTTATCTGCTTGTCAATTCTCACCTGGTCATTAGTCAGTCAGGTATGACAAAGGCCTCTGACCAGGCAATAATGATCCTGCTTGCACATGCCATAAACAGAATCAGGGCCTGTGTGGGGGTCCCTAGGGGTCAACTTGAGCACTGTCTCCTGTCAGATATTTATCTGGAGAGTAGATGCCATATTCTTCTTATCAGGAAATCTTATGGGTTCTGATGACTGGCCACTGTCTCTAGAATATTGAAATTATCAATAAAAAATGAGCTTTATAATTTTGCTCTCTCAGATATGACAAACTAGGGAGAGATAAGCTAATGAAAAAAAATTAGAAGTGCAATATTCTTTTAAAAACCTTTGGGCTGGTAGCAAGTGATTGCATGACGATAGAATTTTTGATGGCTTACCACATGATATTTTGACTAATTAAAGACAGCTCTGGTTAGCAGAGCTGGTATCTTGTTTTTTGAAGTTCACATTATACCAGCTATAAGGAGTTGTAGTGTTTGTACGAGTGTTTTAAGTTATTTGCATATGACCTAACAAAATGTCCACTTAAAAATTGTGCTAGTATTGTGTTTATAATGTAAAATGCTTCCAAAATTCCAGCAATCACATGATACGGATATTAAACTTGCACCTGCTACGAAATCCTGTTTTGGTTTAAGATATAAATATTCATTTTCCTTAAAGCGATATAGCTGGGTGATTGTATCAGAGAGAAGTGTTTAGAGGGACGTGGAGATAGGTTGGGGGGAGGTGGAGAAACGTGGGGGGTAGGAGGGGGGTGGGGGTAGGGTGATATCTCATGATCTGAATATAGCATGTGTTACATATTCACCACAAATCCCATACCACAACCATTACACCAACCATACACTCTATCTCTGGGAAAGTGATGGTTTTTCTTCAGTGTATATATATTGGTATATATTGTTAAGTTAATAGTGAACTAGCATATAATGCACGGCCAACAGAGTTAAGATTTATAGAGAAACATTTTTACTTTGTATGTGTAATTTGACTTTATATTGTTACGTTATTAAATAATTCAGCTTAGAAAATAATTAATATGACGATGATAGAGATGTACGCCAGAGGTCAGTTACCAAAAACTATTGTAAGTCATTCAATAGGACACAATTTTATTATTTACCATTCCAAATATTTTACTCAAAATGTAATAATTTAATTACATTTTGCTGATGTCATTGTAATTTTCTGGAGAACTGGGATTCTCAATGATAGCCATATATGAAAGTATATTCACATTTAGAGACATGATTTTAAAACAGACAAAAAAAATGGTGTTCTTGTGTTGATTAGAGGAAGTGCAAACTTGCATCAGGGCCAAGGTTTGAGTGATGCTATACAATTTTTAAATGCTTGACCCTGTTTTATATTTGTTGTTGTTGAAATACTTACAGTGTTTAGCTGACATATTATCTTGTCTGTTTATATATATATATGTTATGTTATTTCTGATAACTAATTTGACATTTCCTGAAGGTCAGTAGTTGAACTGTGGACTCAGCTGTTTATAGCAAACAACACTGATACAATAATTATTCTACTTCTTTTCTTTGGCTCATGAAATTTTGATGGAAATTCTTGCAGCTGTTAATATCATTTCTGTGTGTTTGGTAATACTCCAATACATAGCAGGTTCTAATGCAGATTTTTCATCACCTGTTTTTATTTACTTTTGTCATCAATCATTGTTTACATAGTATGTATTGTTTGTTGTAATTTTCATTTCACATTGAAGTTTGTCTAAACATGATATAGAAATGTTCTAGACACCAACTTACTTTGTCAAAACAAACTGCTGTGTTATCTGTAGTTTATCAGTGTGTAGATATAAGGGATTCCGGCTAATGAGCTCCCTAATCTCTTGATCCCCTAACAGCCCTGGTATCTGGGGCCAGATCTAGCCCCATCTAGAAGGGAACCATCTACAGCATCCCCAGCCCAGCCTCTGTATCAGAAAGGGTTTCAAGTATAGGAAACCATTAACAGCTGGCCTTTGAAGTAACACAGTTTTACTAATTTCCACTAAGTGGTGAGATCATTACATCTAACCATTTCATACAGTTTTTTTTTGTGATTATGAACCTGTATACCTATTTCCAGAAAATGGACTCATCCTTTTATTCTTTATGGGCAAAACCATGTCCACCATGTGTAGAATTGTATAACACTATTTCTGTTTTGCATATTTTAGGTGTAAATATTTGAGAAAGACATCAGATGTGAAAATTGATGTACATTTACATATACATGAATAATTCCTGATGAAATTTTTGATTGTAGATGATGAGTCATGAATTTTAACCTTCAAATGACAGAGTGGAAATTACTGTATAGATTTGATGTGTCTGTCCAGATCACAGTCCTGACATTTTTGTTTTGTTTTGATTTCTCAGGCTGCTGTCATAATTCTGGTACCCTTTGATGGGGCCTCATTTTGACCTATAACCTTTCAAGTAGAATCAGATTGCTGCACTCTGTCACTGAGGTCAGAGTTCAAAATGGTAAGTTACCCAGCTGTAGTCAAAATATTTCCCTCTAATGCTATATTTAGTAACAAAACAAGGAGTTGTCGGGCTGTACACTGTATGTGTGTCAATGCGTCACCTATTTTATGGAATCTTAGGACCTCAATCTTTATGATTTTATTTTCAACAATAAAAAGATATGAGCTCATTGCATTGATCATCCACAGATAAATTGCTGGGGATCAGTGCTTTTATGGAAAAATTATTTATGTATGGCTGAATTTCAATGCCACAGGCAACATATTCAAGTTACAGAATGACTGATAATAGCCCAAACTCAGTAATTTTAGGTTCTTTACTCAGCAAAAAATTCTTCTAAATTCACAGCCCCTGTTCATGTTTGCAGGCTTTTTTTTCTTCTAGATTGTTTCTGGTTCTGTAGGTTGACAACAACAATGATAATTCTCTATTTTAGCTTTATAGTCTTAACTTAAAAAAAAAAGTTTTCTTTGTTACAAATTTGTAAGTAGATATTTCCTAGGATGGCAGATTTAATAGCTTCAAATCCATTTCAAATTCTAATTTAATTTAATTAAACCTTCTTTTTTCATCAACATTTGTAAAACAAATAAAATAATATCTTTTTTCCCCAATTTAGGTTTTCCCAATATTTTTGGGCCCTGGGCCCCAACCATGACATTTGTAAAACAAATAATTGTACAATACTTTTTGAAACATATTTTTGTCATCTGACAATGCATCTGTTTATTTTCTGATCATCTCCAGCTTTTGGGGATGGAGATAGCAATTCTAGCCAGTGAAGAAATATTTATGATGTTGTGGAAACACAGTCGGGTTAGATGGGGAAGAAAGGAAATATAAAGGTTTGATGAGGGAGAGGAGGACGATTTGAACCTATTTACAGGAACAATGAATTACTGATTGATTTGGAGGTTTTAATTCTTTCTTTACCATTTTCGATGTTGAAGTTTTATGGGAAAGGTTGAGTAACACGATGTAAATAAAAACTGAAAGGTGACAATTATATTACATAATTTGACAATGTCCTTATTGTCTGAAGGTCGTACAATTTTCAACTGAGAAATAGACCCAACACTGAATGGATAGTATCAACATTGACATTTACACATCAAAGCTGTTTACCTGACCATTTGTGTGTCCTCGACAAATAATAACAAGCTGCTAAAACAGGTAATTACGTCTTGACAGGTCTGACCAGGTAAGTTAGTCCTGCTTAAAATAGCTCAACCAGCGTAATTATCCGATTGTCCAGTAATAGTGACTTTTAAGAATCCATTGTGTCTAATTGATGAATGTAAAACAGCTGGAATTGTATGTAAGAATTTCACACAAGAATAGCCATGCTGTGAAATGTGAAAACAATATTATATAATATAGTGAGTTTGATGAGAAAGACGTAATCTCTGTCTTAACCAGTAAAATTAGAATGACTGGCCATTAAGTGTCAGCTGTGGTCAACACTCACCTGTGTAATTAAACCTACTTTCTAATGCATTTGGAAGATATTACATAATATTACTGCTCTTGTGGTCAGGCAATTTACAGTTAGGGAACTAGAGAATCAGTAGGTGGGAATTCGGTGTCAAGAACTGTTTAGGAATTTCTGTTGACAGAGGATGTATCTATAAAACATATTGACACAGGATTTTGTGATAATGTAAAACACAGCAAGAGATTGAGTAATGTAAAGCTTTTTGGCAAAATAAATATCTAATCCGTTACAAATAGAGGTTGTGTGTTTTAAAAAAAAAAAAAATGCCTGCTTGCACGTGACAGGAACATTGTGGCTGCCTCATGACTATCAAGTCACATGTTCCAGAAGTGCTTTGGTGTTGGTGATAGAGTCTGGTGATCTGTATCAAACTGCCATAAAAGCATTACCGGTACAGGAAAACAGGTCTAGACTGTAGGTAATACACAGCATGGCTGTGTATATGGGTGCTGGGTAGGAAATAACACTTACTGCTGATACAGTGTCAGGACACTGTTTGAAACAAGAGACGGTAACTGCAGGTGTATATCATTTTTTTTTAATCAAATTTGTAGTAAAACTTAAACAGGAGGAGGAAACTGAAGGCCTAATTTTTTTCAGTAAAGTTGATTTATTTAGGTAAAACATGCAGGTCGGTGTGGCTTGAAGATAGTTGTAATTACGGTCACTCAGCTGAAGGACCATGTTACTTCTTTGGTTCTGTTCCTAGAGCTGGTTTACTATCACGCTGGAGACCAGGGTTCAATTTCAGTTTGGGGCAGTCAACAGGAATTTGTAATTTCCATGTTCTTTCAAATCTCATTTGTTGTAAAAATTTTAAAAAGAGGCAGTAACTGCACAGGTAATGAGGTTTATTATCTTATTTGTTGTTAGTCTGAAAAAGGGAGGTAACTGCTGGGGTGTTTTGTATTATTTCATAAATCATATCTGATTTTTTTGTGAAACTGAAACACAGGAAGGTAATTTGCAAGGGTATAAGGCATAAGGGAGGTAACTACTGGGATATGAAGCAATACTGATACAAGGGGAGGTAATTATAAAGGTATTGAGTAATTCATTTGTCTTTCATTGTGTATGGCAAACATCCAGTCAAAGTACAGGAAAGACTAATATTGTCATTTATTCTGCTTGAAAAAAAGGAACAAAACTTCACTGTATGGGAAAGGGAGTGAACTGACATGAGGATTGGGTTGGTGGTTGAGGCAGTGAATGTGTGTATTATTACATGTCATTAAGGTTAGTGCTGTGTCTGATGGGTTATTTCCTGAACCATGTCATTATGGACACATTTCATCTTGTGAGAAAGCCCTCGCTCTACGAGACCGGAAATTGAAGGATACAGACGAAGAAATTCTTTATATAGCTACTCGAAATTTGTGTCCTGAGAATTTCTTTCATGATTAAGAAATTACTTTCACTAATACATATAACATGGTAACATGTATTACAACATTATGCTTTTTCCTGACACACCACTGATCCATTTGAAAATGAGTTGGGCAAATTAATCAAAACGTTTTAAAGTCTCTTAAACTTCCACAAAAGTTGATTGTCAAAAAAAAAAAAAAATGTAAAAAATATTTCATATAAAAACTGAGACATTTAATCTGTCAACTTGTCAAGACAGATTTTGCTGAAAACATGTTTTTTTGAATTGTAATATTTTAGAAACAGTTTTCAAACTTAAGCATAATTTCAGACTATTTTGTTGAACAGGTTTTCACCTGACTGTGATATAAAATAACATGAATATTATGAAGTAGTAAATGTTTTACAGTAGGGGATGGTAATTGGTAAATGTTTTATAGTAGGGGATGATAATTGGTAAATGTTTTACAGTAGGGGATGGTAATTGGTAAATGTTTTATAGTAGGGGATGGTAATTGGTAAATGTTTTACAGTAGGGTATGATAATTGGTAAATGTTTTACAGTAGGGTATGATAATTGGTAAATGTTTTATAGTAGGGGATGGTAATTGGTAAATGTTTTACAGTAGGGTATGATAATTGGTAAATGTTTTATAGTAGGGGATGATAATTGGTAAATGTTTTGTAGGAGGGGGTGATAATTGGTAAACTGACCATGGTGTGTGTTTTGTGATCAAACTGAAGATAAGGAGAGTTTGAATGAGTAGGGATTTACTCCATGGGAACAGTATAGAATGATATGTGCAAAAAAAGTTACAAAATTTTGAAATTCTGCTGATATCAGACTTTAAAAAATGTTTGGGAAAACATCTCCCACCCCCAGCCTTTAAAAATAAACAACAACAACAACCCCCGCCCAAAAAAAACAAAAAACAAAAAAACAGGAGTACCCTCTGTAGTAGTGAAACGTGACTGCTGAGTATTCTGACATCTGTTTTGTCAGAACACATGTTGCCATATTTTCAGTCTAACAAGATGGTAAGGAAGCTCCAGAGTCTGACAGCTAAGGCCTCTGTCAGATCCAGGTGTATAAACTGGAACATGTCAATTCTGCACTAGGTAGTAGTTTCCAATAAACTTTCTTTTTAAACCTGTTGAACATTTGTAGAATAGTGAACAAAAATAGAAAGATATAAATTTATATACAGTGTATGCAGTTGGAAATTCATTATAATCACTTCGTGAGATTTGAAGCCATTTGGTAAATGGCAACTCTATTTAGTTAATGAATTTTGTATACCCTCTGTAATACATTGGTGTTGAGCTTGAAGTAGAAAAATTATTATATTTTCAGTAAAAAATACACACTGATAATCAATGGAAAATTCTTTAGTAAGTGAAGTGTCCAATTTTGTTACCTTTCTAAGTGCACCGTCTCATTCATTTAACATTAGATAACGCACCTAGATTTCTTCAATTTAGGTTCCCAGCCATCAGTGAGTCCCAGGAAAGTTTGTTAAATTTATCTACTGTGTGAAATGATCATTTGCATTGAACTGCATTTTTTATTAAAATAAAAGATACCGTTAGTGTATAAAATAAAAAAAAATTATTTATAATTTATTCATTACTGTTACACCATGCTTATGAGACACGTATCCGGTAAACAACCGAGGAAAATAGCGTCAATCTTCGATGACTAAGTCGAATCATCAGATATGTTGAATGTTTCATTTGGTGCGGTTGACTTTGACTTCTCCGTGTTTTACTGTATTTGTATGTGTGTCTTTAGAACATCCTTCCAGCCACAACAAAACAAACATGTAACATTTCATACTGTTACTTCAGGGAAAAATGTTTGTCTAGACAAGACAGAACAATAATACTTATAAATATTTACCAAGTAATCAAGGTCTTTCTGTTTCTCAATAGAGACATATACTTTGGTTAAGCAATTTCCTGCAGGCTTGCTAATGTAATTAACATAATGATGTTGCAATATTGAAACCTTGATTACTTGTACATCAATACTGAAGTTTCACACATATGAGGAAATCCACAGTTTGGGCGCTTCCTTCTGTCATGATTTTAGACATCTGTTACGAAAGCTTTTGTCAATCTGGCTGTTATCGTT